GTATTCTAAATTTAGGGAATATGATTCCTACTTGGAAGAAGGTAAGAAAATTTTTGAAATTCGCCCACCCATTCCGCAACCTTATTGGCGTCCATTAGATGGATCCTACCATTCTTTCAGATTTGTGGGATATCGAAAACAAGGTGAAATTCTTGGAAGACCTCTAGCTTGGGGAATACTTGTTGAAAGGTGTAGTTCCTTGTCTTTACTCCATATCTAATCGTAAGTAAAAAACAATCTCTAAGTTTGTTCTAGCTCTTCATCCCTTGGATTGATTGGAAGGTGGATTTTAGAACAAATCTGAGAGCGTTTGAATTTGTTCCCATTCAAGAGGATCTAGAGTAACACCATCTAACACATGCAAAAGGCTAGAAAAAAGATCAATTTCAGAGTTGTAAAGGTTTTCTTCACTAGCCTAAAGTTCCATATAAAGCCAAAGGAGACTAGGGGATGAAAAGCTCAGAAATAGTTTTATTTTTAAGAGAATGAACAATGAAGATAGGTTGGAAGTGATCTTTCAGTGGAAGTCCTCAACCAAGGGCCTTCCCATGATTTGATTTTATTACCAAAGACAAGGTCATACTTGTAGTGATTGAGGAATAGTGGGAGGATACAATGGATGTCTATCGAAGGAAAGTCAAGAGTAGTTCTGTGTAGTTTGGGGATACAAGGTTGTTGAGCAAGAGAAAGAAGAGGAAGATAAGAAGGCAGAAGAGAGAAGAGGTTGGCGGACTTCATGCCTCAAAAGAACTTGCTTCATGCGAGTGAAGCATTTGTATTTATACTATACTAGCCGTACAACACAAGTGGTATGGAAATTACAAAAATACCCCTGTGGGCACTAAATCTGTGTACAGTACATACAATAACATTTGTCAACACTCCCCCTTAAGTTGGTGAAGGGATGAGAGATCCATCCTATGGACGCCTAAAGATTGCGGAATAAGGGGCGAATTTCAAAAAATTTATCTCTCCCTTCAATTGGGAATCGTATTCCCTATTTAGAAAATCATATTTTCAAGGATCAATCTTGAACCAT